TCTCTTCAGTCAGGGACTACATTGTGAGGAGTTACACTGCGGCAAATCACAGTCCAGGAAAGAATGAATGGTGTCGGTAGATTCTTGTTTGTATAAAATATGAAACTGTGGCTTCTGATAATCAACAGCATTTGTATACACACTGCCAAGCGTTTTCAGCTATAGCTGAAGCTAATAAAAGTGAAACACTTCAAATCGCAAAAACACCTGCGGCTAAAGCACAATGGAGGCCTTTGACATTAACGCGACTTTGCCGGTTACGTCATGAAGCGTGCGTAGCAATATATGTGTATATGAACATCCTTCAGTCGTCACTGCAAACAAGGCCCCTCACACGGCAATCTGCAGGAGTTTGACAATAATGTGTATCAGTATCAGTCTATCTATCGGATGAATAAACAACTGTGTCTTTTTTGAAATTGCAGACTAAAAAAAAACGATGCCTCGTTTTATTTCCACAGGAATGGTAGAAAACGCCACGTTGCAGAGTTAAAAGAAAGAAATGGATTTAATGAATCAGAAAATAAAAACAGTTGCAAACGTACCGCTCTTTAGCCGCCGAAGTCGGGGTGGATCAGGGAAAGGGGAACCGACCATTGCCACCCCGCTCCTCCGCCTCATTTTCCACCTGGGGAACATCTGGGGAAGCGTGAAAAATTACGAAACGTTACATCCCTAATCCCCCGATCATAACGTCCTCCTCTGTAACGATTTTGCCTTCAATTTCTTCAAACGCCTGATTGGAGATTAGCAAGGCGTAGTTCATTACTGTTGTAGGCGATCCAGTCTAGTTTAGAATGGCTTCCTGTCGCTGCGACGTAGTACTAGCATGCCAAGCAGAGGAAGGGAGCCGAGAAGATACTGAAACGTCGGCAGGATTTGGAATAATTTATAGATACTGTGAAAGAAACTTTGTCCTGTTGTTTTGTCTAAGCAAAGATATCTTGTACTTTCTTTTTGCACTGGTCCTGTAAACTTGCTTTCTCCATACGTCAAGATCCAGGATAACATCGTGTTCTACAGTTCTGAATAGCATAAGGCCTCATACCTACCGAGGACAATCAAAGACTGGAATGCCATATCACAAACAACTGTGGAGGCCAAAAAATCTTCGTGTCAAGGGCCTCCGGATCCACATCTCATTAATGCTGCTCATGACCTCTGACCTACAGCGACAGAATGATCAACATGGTGATCGTGGTCGCTATAAGGAAGAAGACATGAGTACAGTACTGTACCTGCTGCCAGGTCTCGAGGCTCGCGCTCCGCCGCGGCATCACCACGCACTCCCGCTATGCGCCCCCGATCGCCGCCGCCGTCCTGGGCATCGGCGCCATCCAACATCAAAGCCACCAAGGCGACCAACAGGAGCATGAGAGTAAGGGTTCCCTTCATCTTTGCCTCTTCACGAGTTTCTGATACAGACGGTAGAAACTAGAGTCGTTGATTGCGCCCTGGTCTAAGTTGTGTCAATTCACCTTTATGCAATCTTGCAAGTGCCCAGCACCAATTATTCACGGTATATATACGTACGTCTTTGTGTAGATAGTGTTTGCTTACATCCGAACAGAAAGAGGGTCGAGACCCCGTGGTCGACCGCGGCTGAGATTCAATGGCACATTCAACGTCGCCTCGTCACCTGGAGCGGGGGGTATCAGCTACATACCGGTAGCTTAAGACGCTGGCGAGAGACCGGGCCGCATCGATGGCAAACGGTGGTGAAGAAGAGCGCCGGGAGTTAATCTCCAGGCAGATCATACAGTAGCAAGGCACCACTTCGGTGGTTTATGGACACTAGTACTCCTCTTCTTCTTCTTCTTCCTAATAGCGACCACGATCACCATGCTGATCATTCTGTCGCTGTAGGTCGGAGGTCACGAACAACATCAATGAGATGTGGAGGCCCTTGATACGAAGATGTCAATGTGTTTGGCCTCAACAATTGTTTGTGCAGTAGGGCATTCCAGTCCTCTGTCCAATTTATACTGCATTGTTACCGTATGATCTGCATGGTTGGAGTTTACCGAGGATGTGCACAGAGAGAGGGAAGCTCTGGAGGACGAACGTGCACAACGACGACACGCTTCCAGTGCTGCCAAGCAGATCCCTTGATCAATTTTGTCCCTTGAACATTAAACGTACACCTGGACTTAAACTTGGGACTGAAAATTAAGATCACGTTTGATTTGTTAAGGTACCGTACCATCGCAATTTACACAGTTTAAGTCATACTAGGCTAGGCTGCATACATCAACAAGCTGTCAATTTGGACATGACGTGATGAATGCGGCCAGTGACTTGTGTTGGATAAATGGAAGTTACCTGAGAACTGCGTGGCCCTTTATCGTGTGCGGCGTACGCAGAAACCCTTTGCTGAAATTCAAATCCAGTCTTTTGGATCCTTCATGAAAACTTAGTCTACACACGAGGGCAAAATGTCGACAGCGTAGATCACAAGTCGACACAAGATAATGACAAATGGTGCGAGTACTTTGTTCGGCGTCAAGATCTGTTGTTCTGTACATAAAGAAAGAAAGACATGGCTCAGTGGTGCACACAATGCGCGTTTGTTCATCCTCTGGAGCAAAGACAAAGCCTAGGGTGATTACTTACTTATACACGGTCATATACGGTAACATCTTCGGTACCCCTGCACTACTTTTACTGTTTATTGGGTGGGCCGCTCTCTCTCTCTCTCTCTCTCTCTCTCTCTCTCTCTCCCTCTCTCTCTCTTCACAGTCAGGGACCAGATTTTGAGGAGCTACATGTAAGTCACAAGGCATGAAAGAATGACTGGTGTCGGTAGATTCTTGCTGCATACAACAAAGCTGTTACCCTTTTAGTGGGTTTACGGAAAAACCTGGGCTGTCTACCTAACCAGGCTACCTTACCAGTCTACCTTGCCTGTCTAGGACGTCAGGCTACTGAACTCCCCCCATCCACAGCCTCACGAACAGCAAGACTTCCAAGCAGCTGCGCCCCCTGGCGGAATGCATCAGAATTGCACCCACTACTTTGGCACGTGCGTGTGCACAAACCTGTGCAGCATGGAGTTAAACATAGCCTGACTAATCGCGCTCCTGGCGGTCGTCGACCCGAAGTAGGTGGGGGTCATTAACCTCTTGTGTAACACAGGCTATGTTAACACAGCAAGAAAACACAAATTTAGCACAAATTTAGCACAAATAAATATGCGCTATGTGCTATACGCTAGTGACAATCATCGTCACTCGGCGTGGTTACCCAAGTGATGTCAATGTGTCAGGAATGGGGTGTAAGTGAAGAGATGTCACACGTTGTGCGATAGCGATTCAGCAGCTCCAGCGATTCTTCATTTGAACGTTATTTTTCGTTGAAGGGTAAAATTTTTAACATCATGTCTTCTTTTTCATTTTTTTGTTTAATTCTGAAAAGATACTTTTACAGCACAGAGACCCGTCCTAACCTCCGTCATACGATAACATGTGGACGTCCTTATCTCCACATGGGATAATCAATTCTATAAGCTACATATTATAGAATTACATGGATAAACACATGCTATGACCGAGAGAGAGGCCTTGTTAAGGGACTGTACGATATTTACCGGGGGGAGGGCTGGTGCACTGGGGGGGAGGGCCATTGAAATTTTTTTGGCCTGGGGGGAGGGCCGTGGAAAAAATTTTGAGCTGGGGGGAGGGCCGATCGAAAAAAAAAAATCGGCCTGGGGGGAGGGCCACCGAAAAACTTTTGTAAAATATGGCGTCGCGTAGTACCGAATTACAAGAAATACGCCGTAAGTTCCCGAATATAGTACGCACTTTTTACATTTTTCAAAATCCCAGAAGTGTCTCGGGTCGTCGCCAAAGTCGCGGTGCGTACTTTATTTGAGTTTTCCGCCGACAAATCCGTGGACGACCCAGGAATATAGCGGAACGCCGGCACGGGAAGCTTGGAACGACATCGATTCGTCCATAGCATGTTTAGATAAGAATATTGACGAGTGGAAATAAAGTTAAACTTCAATAAATGAACATATTTCCTGTGACTTTCGTCGATATTGACACCAAGTTGCGGTAAAAGAAGAAGTCAAGTCACCCACGGTAAGAAAATGTAGGTTTCTGGCAATGACGCCCGGCGCTTTGTCATGCCGACAGGATCGTTCCCTAGCTAGCCGGCGCCGATCTCAGTGGAACCCCGGCAAAAATATAACCTCCCGTAAATACACATACAATTGTAGGGTTTATGAGTGGTAATATTTGAAATGGTCCGCAAGCCGTGAACGTTCTTGATCGTCGTAACGTAACATGTGACAACATAACAGTTGTGCCTCGCCTGATGGTCATCATTTCCAATACACTTCCGGCTTGAGTTCAACTCAGCAATCTTCAACAAAGATTATGCCCATGTCGTTTCAAAGGTTCAGGAATTGTTAACCATGTTTCACTTCGTATCACAAGTATTTTTAAATCTTGATAGATGCCACAGGAAATTACTTTGTAGCGGGCTACACCAGTACGACGTGAAAATTCTAGCTAGTAGATGTACTCCTACTTGACTGTTCGGCAAGCTACAATGATAGGGGCGGAGTTAACTTAAAATGTAGTCTTTGATGAAATCTTACCGCCCGCCGGTGGGTGGGGTGTTTGGCGCGCCGACAGGCAAAGTATACCTACAGCTGAAGAACACAGAGAGGGCCGTGACATGCATGCGCAGCGCTGAGGACAGCTTTTCAGGACATGGACCCCGAGAAGGAAGTATTTCTTTCCTCTGAACAGACTGTACTTATAAGTTTATTCCTTTGATTTTGTGACAAAAACATCTATCACATAACGAGAGATTACTTGAAACGCAGTCAAACTTGTCACTTTCTCCTGTTCGGAATTGCAAGTCCCATTGATCCCAGTAGTCGTTTGTTGTTGTGTTAATTGGTTTCGGTGTCAAGTTTTAAATTCGGTAGCACCTCTACAGCCAAATGCTCCGCCCAGTTCTCCGCCTGTACGATTGTTGCTTTCCATGGGTCGATCGGGCGGGCGCTATTAAGGAGTGTTCGGCGCATTTCGTATTAAAAACAACAAAGCTACGTACTTGTGCATCAACATTCAGCTACCCCCCGTTACCGATAGAATCAATATTTAAATATTGTCTTTTCTTCACAAATCTTTGACTATTGCTTGCTTGATCACCAACACTCTCCGGGATCCAAAGCTGTACGTTTCGACTTGCCTTACCCTTCGATGCGGTGGCGACGTCTTCAATGCAAGTTAAGTCGGCTGCGGTCAGCGGTGAAAACAAGGCCGAACATGAAGCGTTTCCCGCTACGTTACCATACAATCACGTAGTACACGGCATAAATCTAGTTTTTAACAATTTTTTTGGAACTACATGTCCACAGTGGTACCGGCCGTGCGTACGTTTCAGACGTGAATATTTGTCTCCCACCAGCCCCAAATCAGTGAGACAATCACATGGAAAAATGGGGGGGGGGCACCGAAAAATGGTTGTGGTTGGAAAAAAAAATTGAGCCGGGGGGAGGGCGATGGGAAAATTTTTTCCGGACCCTTTTTGCACAACCCCCCCCCCCCGGTAAATATTGTACAGTCCCTATGATTCTCTACAGATGTGCGGCACGGACAATGCTGCCCCCGCGCTTCGGTCAAAAGTTCACCCTGTTCTGATGCAATACACACTCCGACCCGTGCGCTCTCAAAGTAACCACGACATCCGTTTCCCTGTTACTGTTGATTACTTTAGATAAAACAAAATAAAACATAACATCCTGTTTATTTCTAGATCTCTTGCTGTGTTTAACTCCTAGCCTGTGTTACACAAGAGGTTAATGACCCCCACCCACTTCGGGGCGGCCGGCCGCCAGGAGCGCGATTAGTCAGGCTATGTTATCTCCATGCTGTAATCTCCAAGCAGATCTTTCGGTTGGGTGGCAAAAGACAGTATCCATTGGCCATCCTGTATCCATTGGCCGTCCTGTATCCATTAGCCAACCAAAGCTAATGGACACTCCTCTGGCCAATGGATACTGTCTTGCCACCGAAAAATCTGCTTGGAGATTACCATGCTGCACAGGCCTGTTTGTGCACACGCACGTGCCAAAGTAGTGGGTGCAATTCTAATGCATTCCGCCAGGGGGCGCAGCTGCTTGGAAGTCTTGCTGTTCGTGAGGCTGTGGATGGGGGGAGTTCAGTAGCCTGACGTCCTAGACAGGCAAGGTAGACTGGTAAGGTAGCCTGGTAAGGTAGACAGCCCAGGTTTTTCCGTAAACCCCCCTTTTAGTACCCCTCAGGCTTCTCTCGTGACCTCAGTGAAAAGCGGCCTGCAGGTCGATTTGCGCAGTCATGCTCTTTGAAGACCGACTGACAGCGACACCTAGCTAAGCTGCATGCAACAACAAGCTGTCAAACTGCATTTGGACATGACGTGATGAATGATTGGAAAGTTTAAGTAATGCCAAGGGCGTGTGTTGGATAAATGGAAGTTACCTGAGAACTGTGTGACCCTTTATCATGGTTCTACGGTACACAGAAACCCTTTGCTGAAATTTAAAGCTAGTCTTTTGGCTCCATCATGAAAACGAAGTCTAAACAACTATACATGAGGGTAAAATGTTAACAGTGTAGATCACAAGTCGACACAAGATAATGACAAATGGTGCGAGTACTTTGTCTGACGTCAATATCAGTTGTTCTGTACATAAAGAAAGACAGACAGGACTCAGCAGTGCACACAATGCGCGTTTATTCATCCTCTGGAGCAAAGCAAAGTTCATGGGGATTAATTGGTCGTATAGGGTAATAAGTTACCCCTGCCCTACTTTGATTATTCATTGGGTGACTTCTCTCTCCTCTCTTCATAGTCAGGGACTAAATTGTGATAAGTTACATGCAAATCACAGGCCAGGAAAGAATGAATTTAGTATTAAAATACTTTATTATCGTTTCTACACTACCATAACAGTGTGGCGTTGGCAGATTCTTGTTTGTATATAAATGCTCAATACGCTGTTTTGTATAAAAGTGATGCTCAATATGTACTGTGACCTCTTGTGATCAACAACATTTTCTACACACAACCAACCGTTTTTAGCTGATAAAAGGGAAACATTTCAAATCACAAACACCTGCGGCTTAAAACACAATGGGGGCCTCTGACAGTAAATGCGTATTTGAGCTTCATCAAGTATTATAGCACTGGATGATGTCTCGCCATCCTTCAGTCGTCACAGCAAACAAGGCCCCTCACACAGAAACCTACGGAGTTGAACAGTAATGTATTTCAGTATGAACGGAGATTCATGTACATTGTATATACATATGTATTACATTAGGTATTGTTAAACAATTACGAAAAGAATTAAAGGATGAAGAAAGAACTGTGTCTTTTTTGATGTTGCAGACAAACATGATGCCGCTTTTAATTTCCAAGGAATGGTAGAAAATACCACGATACAGAGTTAAAAGAAAGTAAGAAACGGATTCAATAATCAGAGAAGACGTACCACTCTTTAGCCGCCGAAGTCGGTGTGGATCAAGGTTTTTTCCCAAGTTTGGCGAGGAGCCGATCGTGTTCAGCCCACTCCTCCGCCTCATTATTCACCTGGGGAACGTCTGGGGGTAAAACATGACGTCCTTAGTCTAACGATTACGCCTTCCTGCTTAACCATTTTCCTACCCAACATCTGCTTGGAGATGAGAAAGACTCCAATCCAGGGAAGTGTGTACAGAGGAAGTTAGCTGAGGAATTATCAAAACGTCGGCGGGATTATGAATATTTCATAAACAGGATAGTGTATGTCCTACAGTACCTCCTGTCAGGTCTCGAGCCTCGCGCTCTGCTGTGTCGTCATCACCGTGCACACTCAGTCTGCCGCAGTGCGGAGGGCACGGCGGTCCACCGCCGCCGCCGCCGTGCTGGGCATCAGCATCGTTCAATATCAGGGCCAAAATGGCGAACAACAAGAGCATGAGTGTCAGAGTTCCCTTCATCCTTGCCCTACACGAGTTTTAGATACAGACAGTAGAAACTAGAGTGTTTGATTGTGCCTTGGTCTAAAGTTGTGTAAATTCACCTCTAGGCAACCTTGTAAGTACGCAGGACTAAGTATTGTAGGCGTACACGTAAGTCTTTGTGTACACAGTGTTTGCTTACACCTGAGCTGAAAGGTTAACCTCGTGGTCGACTGCGGTTGAGATTCAATGGCACATTGCAACGTCCACACGACCTGGAGGGTATCAACTACATACCGGCAGCTAAAGACGCTACCGAGAGACCGGGCCGGATGCCGCACGGTGAGGAAGAGCGCCGGGAGTTAATCTCCAAGCAGATCATACGGAATTACGGATCATACTGAGGAGTGTCCATTAGCTTCGGTGGCTAATGGACACTCCTCTGGCCGATGGATACTGCCTTGCCACCGTAGGATTTGCTCTGAGATTACCGAGGCCGTGCGCAGAGAGTGGGAAGCTATTGTGGACGAACCTGCACAACAACTACACGCTGCCAATGCTGCCATGCAGATCCCTTGATCAAACTTGTCCCTTGAACATTAAACTTAAACCTGGAATTAAAATTTGAGATCACATGTTGATTTGTTAAGGTACTGTACCATCCCGATTTACGCTGTTTACGTCTGTTACTCTTTTAGTACCCCTCAGGCTTCTCTCATGACCTCAATGAAAAGCGGCCTGCAGGTCGATTTGCGCAGTCATGCTCTTTAAAAGACCGACTGACAGCGACACCCAGCTAGGCTGCATGCAACAACAAGCTGTCAAGCCGCATTTGGACATGACGTGATGGATGCGGCCAGTGACTTGTGTTGGATAAATGGAAAAGTTACCTGAGAACTTTGTGTCCTTTTATCATAAATACAATACTAGATGGTACACAGAAACACTTTGCTGAAACATGAAGCTAGTCTTTGGTTTCCGTCGTGAAAACCAAGTTTACACCAATTATACACCAGTGCAACATACGATACGATACGACTTTATTGGTTTATCGCAGTTTACAAAGTCTGAATTAAAAACCAATTTACGTAAAGACTTTTATCAAGTTTTCAACATTACAGACATATATATTTAGAAGCTTACAACTTTTTAAAAATGTATATCATTAAAAGATGTACGGAGGAAACATCAAGAAATACGTAGGTTGTCCGATTTAAAATTGATTTTACATAGTTACAAAAATTAGTAGCCCCTCTTGTCAGGCACGCCCTGAAAGCCGATGCTGATGGATTGTGAACACTTGCCTTCTAAACAATTAGCCAGGCAAGTTAGAAATAGGCAGATATGTGGAATGCTAGAACCATTAGGATAAAGTGACATTCACTCCATATTTTGAAGACATGTAACGCATATAAAGAGAGACCTTGTAGGTCTTTGAATGTAAAAATAATACATTACTTATACGTACGTACCGGTAGGGATAACAGCCCCTATCGTTGTGATGTACCTTTTCGTTATAATTCGGTCGAAATATGCTTCTCTTGTGATCATCCATCACACATTCTTCCCCATGTTCCTATAATCCTCATCGTCCGACCGGAAATTACACCGTTCATTAAACCTGCCGCAATGGCTACTATGCAAGTTATTTTACGTCACACTGGCCATTACCGGTCGGGTGGTATGGGGTCGTGCTAGATTTAGAAGAATTAGATTTAGAAGAAACGACTCTCGACCAAATCAAAAGTGCGTGCGATACCGAAATGACCTGCCCGGTCGTGCAAAGCCGCTAACGTTTCATGCTAGCTGTAGGGCACGTGGCAGGGTTAATTGGTGGGTGGAGCCCTCCGGGTGGGTGGGTGTGACGGTATGTAACACCTCGTAAGGGGCGGTATAACCCCGACCAATACTGTCGACCGATGATGATGTTGGTAGACCATATAGAGGCGTGGCTTGCATATATATATCTATATATATTATCCTTGGAAAGTCCCTGTACTTTTTGGTGGGTCAATAAAGAATCATATTATCATTGACCAATAGCAGGTGAGAACAGCTAGTATAAATAGCGAAGCCTGCTTGAGTTGGAGCTCAGTTGCAGAACCAGGATTCAGGTGCGTTAAATTACGGTTCTGGGTACCCGGGTAGATTGTAGCTTGTTCGCACCTCACTTAGTATATAGTACCCATCCTCTTGTATTGTACTCTAGACCTGTTGTAGTTCCAATCGCTTTAACTCAGGGTTAAGTTAGACTCCTTGTAAATCCGTCTACAGTAATACCTGGTAGCAGAGTTAGCTTCGGACGGTTCCCCGCAGTGTAGCTGACCGTCTTCGCGCAGTCAGCTAAACATGTTTCCCTCTCGTTACGAGACATCCCCCGGGACGAAAAACAATGCGTCCTCGCATGTGTAACCTTACGAGATGCATACGTTGACAGATAGAGCTTATAAGCTAACGGCTAATTTTTTGTGTTTATAAGTTCTATTAGGAGTATAAAATGTTAGTATCGTATACATGAAGTTACTGAAGCACAACTCAAATTATTTTTAAACACGGGACTGTCCACATCCGACCTAGCGCGCGGCTGCCAACAATTGCGTTCTAAACTCTTCAGTTACAAACAAGCTTTCACTACTTTGACGTTTTAGATCCATTGGGTTGGCTAAAAAGAAAATTCTCACCAATGAGACCTTTCTAAAGGAGTTTTGCACGGCAGGATTGTATTAGCCCATCATCACAGCCCCGAAGAGAGACCGCCCAACTTAGAAAGCACAGAACATGAGAACATGAGAAGCTAGGAGCTTCATGGTTCATTGGCCCCAGTGCTCATTAAACCGGTCATTAACAGTTATAGCTCTGATGAGGGTGACAGATGGTCACCAAAACGTTGACTCATGTAAAACGAATGGCTGTGAATAAATTAATTCTAATATTAAATCATTTATCAACCCGATGGAATTATTCACGGATGTAAGTCGGGCACCAAGGCTATGGCAGACGGGGAAACATCTATGCGGGGAAATGTCCTTACTTGAATCCTCAGCTGGATTAATGAATTCTCAGCTACACCTCAAGATTATTACTAAAAGTAATATGTTTTTTTCTAACAAGATGACAAAAAGATCTATTACTAATTTAGACATTTTACTTCACATGATTACATTATGTCCATGTAAAAGAAGTCTGTCTGTGTGTGTATATATACATCTTTTTAGATTTACGCAAGGGGTTAAGTCTGCTAGTTCTGACTGCCTTGTTATACATGTATACTCGGATTGATCTTTATACAATACAGCTAATCAAGAGCCTGTGTTGTATTGCAGATCCGAATTACATGCAGGCTACGATGGGGGAAGCACAGAGGTCACAGACGTCGACTGACTTCTGTCACGATGCGCACTCAACTGCCCTCTTGCAGGGTTTGCAGAAACAGCGATCAGAAAACCTGCTGGTAGACGTGGTCCTTTGTGTCTCGGGGAAAGAGATCCCGTGCCACAGGAACGTCCTCGCTGCTTGCAGTGAATATTTTCGCGGAATGTTCTGCAACGGGCATCGCGAGAGCAACGAGCATAAGGTTGTCATCCACGAGGCCAACGTCGGCACCTTGCAGCTTCTTGTTGACTACGCCTACACATCACGGGTGACCATCACGGATCAAGACAACGCTATAGAATTGATGGAAGCGGCCAGCTACTTCCAGGTCCCGCCGGTTATCGATGCATGCGCAAAGTTCCTAATATACAATCTCACTGTCAAGAACTGTCTTCAGATGGTTACCGTAGGCGGTATGTTGAACCCCGAGCTGGAGGCCAAGGCATTGTCCTTTGCTATGAAAGAGTTCGCGGAAGTCAGCAAAGCGCCAGAATTCCTCGATTTGACAAAGGATCGACTCATCAAACTCGTCTCCTCAGATGACCTGAACGCTCCTGAGGAAACTGCGTACACGGCAGTGAAGAAATGGATCAACCACGACACCGAGAACAGACAGAAGGATATGAAGGAGCTGGTGGAACTGGTCCGGTTTCCCTTCATGGACAAGATGTTCTTCATAGAGGAGGTAGAAACCGACGATGCGTTGCGCAACTGCTGCCCGGATCTCGTGTCAGAAGCGCAGAAGTACCAGGCTTTTCCCGGGGAGGTACAGTCACCTCGCACTCGCCCCCGCCGTGCCAGTGGTCTGAGGGAGGCTGTAGTGATCGTTGGAGGGATCGAGAAGATATTACGAGGCCAAGGAAACTCTCGGGTTTTATGCAATTCTATGATGATGGTACACTGCTATACACCATCAATCACAAGTTGGATATCTATGCCTATTAAGAATAACTACTCTGGATGGGTTGCTGTGGCTGTTTTGGGCACAAGTGACATCGTGGTGTCTGTTGGTGGGTTAAGGGACGTGTGGCTTTATCGGGCAAAACTTGATTCCTGGTCTAAACTTGCTCCGATGAACGTGGCACGGGATCATCATAAGTTGACCGTGGTCCAAGGTAAAGTGTATGCAATTGGTGGAATATTGCAAGAACAAGCACTAGCAGATGTGGAAGTCTATGACCAAAGTCTGAAAAAGTGGACTGAAAGTGTTCCAATCCCAGCGCCAAGGTACCGGCACGCAGTTGCAGTGTTAGATGGTAGCATATACGTGATAGGTGGAGTTGGTGCCGACAAGAACCCAACATCTACTTCATATCGCTTCAGCCCAGGAGATTCTCAGTGGCACTCAGAAAGGGACATGCCTGTGAGGGTTGCTCGCATCACTGCTACAGTTCTTAATGGTAGCATCTATGTTGCTGGGTTTCCGTTAAAAGTGCGCTGTTACAGACCTCAGGACGGGTTGTGGACTGTCGTAGCGAAAACTGGCACTTGGCGCAGATTCATGTGTGGCATGGCTGTCTTCGGTGGAGAGATCTACATCTATGGAGGCACTAGCAATAACAATGATGGAACAACAGAGGTTCTGTGGCTTAATCAAGAAGACAAGTCACTTAAGCAGGTGGGGACCATGCCCAAGGGCCTGTTTTGCCACGGATGTGTCACTGTACTGAAAGGCTGAACTTGATAAGTAGATCGGACTAGCGTTGTGTCAGTTTTTCTTGTACTCTTGTACTCTTTCAGTAACTTTTGCAGTGCAAAAAAAACTCACCAGTTCGCCGCACATGCATCCGCGACGCATACTGG